TCAGTTACCTTGTTCCATCATTTAATTTTATTTCATCAATTTTTGTTTTATATCTCTGTTTTCCACAAATATTTTCACACAGTTCCATAAAACCTTAAAGTATTTTTATTTTTATTAATTTGTTGGGAAAAATATGTTCGTTTTGCTTTCTTTATTTAGTTATTTAATTTATTGTTTTACTGTCTATAACTTTCTTTAATATCAACATTTTATGAATACGGCAAAGTTTTTTTGTAATGTTTTTCTTTATCTTTTATAGATTTTAAAGGGCCAGTCGTTATCTACTTTTTCTTATAAATTATTTGATTTTTTACGAAAACTATTATTTTATTTTTATTTATATGATACTTTAGTTTAGATGCGAACCTTCTTTACGTATCATCTACATTTAGTTCGTTACATATCTTTTAATTATCGATTAAATTTATCTAAATCTACCTGATCACAAAAACCCTGAAAAAACAGTGCCAAATTAATTATTTACTTAAAAGAAAATACGATTACCATGGTTTTTTTTTAACTATTTCAAAAAATAAATCAAATACCATAAATAAAATATGTTTCTAAACACGTATTTCTGTCACAAGTAAATAAGTTTTTTAATAACAATTAACTTAACTTAGGTACCTGTTTGCCTGCGATAAATATTAGTTATGTTTATAATTTGTATTGTTAATACTTTAACAAAAAATATCAAGTCCCATTTAATTCATGCCAGTTTTAAATTAATTTCTGTCATCTTTGTTAGTTTTAACTTCCGTCAAGACCATATAAAGCCCTTTGTAACCTAAAAAAAAAGAAGTTTAAGTGATAAAAACATTTATTCTTCAATTTAAAAGTTTTTTCATGTTCCCAGAAAAGCCGCCATAACGATGACGTTATCAATAAGTCACTCATACGCTTTAGTCTGTAACAAAGTGTCCTTCATTTATCTTTTGTCCGTGCGAAATCTCAGCCTCTCCTATTAAATTTTATCTACCTGAACGATGTTGCCGTTTGAATTGGCATTCCAATATCATCGGTGTAATTTATCAAAGACTATCATTTTCTTTTTTCCAACTTGCACTTTTCACAGTTTCTCCACTTTGTTTTATTCGCTGTTCTAAATATATAACGCCGTTTTTCGAAGAGTTTCCAGCTTACTAGATTATTTATGGATGGCGATTTGTAAGCGAAACGCAATTCTACAAAATTATGTTTTTTGTTATTTTACTTCGGCTCTTTTCCTATGCCAGAATTATTCAACGAAAACAAAGCCATGAGTAATTATTTTCTTTGGCTTAAATATTTAAGCGTTCCTGAAAAGAAATACAAGGAAATTTTTTAAAAATATCTAACGACCTCATTATATGATTTAACGGATCATATTCATTTGCTATTAGTGTTTTGATTTAGAAACCAAAGGATATGTGGCAATGTTCTATACATACTTATACTAGTACGCATGCAATGGAGTGGTTTCATGTAATTGTAATTCATAAATACAGGGTGGCGCAAAATGAACGTTATGATTTAAACGCTTTGTACCTTTTTTATTTTTAAATAAATTTTCAACATTATTCTATGAAAATGTAGCCTATAAATGGGAAATAATTTTAGCCTAAGCGTGAAAAACTACGTCTCGCAAATGTTGTCCATTTTCTGCTTCACAAAGTCGTGCTCTTTCCAAGACATGTTCCATGACTTTTCGCGTAGTATTATGGCACCGATGTCATTGCGAATGTTATCCTTTAATTGAGGGATCGTTTGTGGCTTATTAACGTAGACTTTTTCTTTCAAATAGTTTTAAAGAAAAAAGTCTGGAGAGGTCAAATCCGGCGAGCGCGGTGGCCAATTAAAGTCGCTTTGGAATATAAACTTAACACGTCTATCAGGTATATAGACACAACACGTCTACCAGGAATATAGACTCAACACGTCTATCAGGTATATAGACTCAACACGTTTGCCAGGAAGGGCCAGGAAAAGAAAGGTACTCAGCTCTTACTACTCGGGGGATGTAGTGAGTTCTTTCCAGCTTAGCTCGCCGGACAGAACTGCCGGTTTGGTTTTTTTTTTTAATTTTATTATCGACGTTTTTATAAGTGTTTTACATTTTTCTATGAAATTTTATTTTCCTATTTCCCTGATAAAGGAGTTATCCATCTTTTCAAGGTGATCTGCCCTGATTACAAAAGTAACCTAGCTAGCTATTTCCTAATGATGTCGTGTGCGCGTGTGGGTCCTGTGTGGCAGGTTGTGTTCCCCAAAAATATCGCCAATTTTGCTATTTCCAACCCCATAAATGGACAAGTCCAAGTATAGGGTGGGGAATATGATTTAGGAAAACCACAAAACCTAAATCACGATACTGTACATATATTATGACTTTCTATTTATATGATTGGGATGGGTTTATCTGATGTTTAGGGGGGCTGATTCCAGCAGGTCCTGGAGTACAACGGTGAGAGGGACTTCTCGGGAATCTGAGAGAAGTCTCAGATTAGGTTGTGGCATTTTTCTTTTCAGTTTTCGAAAAAGTGGAAGTTGGTTTGGGCGCCATGGGGCACGTAGAGTGTCTTGAGAGTGTGTGTTGGTGCCTTTCAGCGTGCGATAGAGTTTGGTGGGTGAGTTTGGTGAATTGTTTCTCCTTTTATACATCTCAATGGTGACAAAGGATACCCTATCTCTCGCTTATTGAAGTGGAAGGGAACGCTCGACTCGTTGGGTCGCTGCTTAGAGGTGTTTGGGAAACCAGTGGCGTAGCTTAAGTAACGGTAATTTATTATCGTTACACCGTATTTATTAAGGACAGGACAATATCATGCCAGATATTTACAACTAGTCTAATCCTGATTTAACCTTTTGTCTTTATCTGCATTATGTGTGCCTCTTATGGCCTCCTCTTCTCAAATAATATTCGATAGAATAGATTAACCTATGAAATCCTCCCTAAAGTTTCCCCCATGGTAGACATCCTCAGTCGACTTTTAAAATTTGGCGGATACGTAATTCAAGAAAATTTTCGACTACTATGAATGATCTTAAAATTTCAATGTTGGGCGAATGAACTTACTTTGGATCAGTATAAGAAATTGTGGATAATGTCTAGAATTTTTAAAAACGATTATAGCGAAGACATCGCTGCCGTAGCAAATTCTGGTGAATGTCCGAATTTTTGATATTTTGTTCGGAATACACCTGAAATTATTGGAATTTTCTGGAAAATCATCAAACTTATTTTATACTTAAATTCATGTAAATATAAACAGTTATTTTAACCGTTAAAATTAACGTGGTCATAACTTCTTTCGTTCTTGACAGTTATAGTTTTTGATTGAATGTATTATATTTAATAAAACGTTAAGCAAATCTTTTATGAGTTGCAGTTTCATTATTTTGTCTAGATTTAAAATTTTTATGTAAGGAAATTGTAACTTTGAATAAAATCATTCTAGAAAACCAGTTTTTTAGCTTAACTGGTAATAAAAATAAACAATGAAAAACAGAGCATAGTACAATATAGCTACCTAAATAAATTTTGAATAATTGTATCTTATAAATCACTGTCAAGAATAAATCGAACTACTTTTATTAAGCCATTTGTCATTGTTAATAAAATATTAATATTATAACCCTAATCCTTATTAACCTTTACCCTAAATAGTGTAACCCTGAAAGTAAATCAAATTACGACTAAAATCGCTTGCCCTAAGAAACTTTCGTAGCAGGATTTGTTCGATTCTAGGGTTAATTGAGATTTAGAGTCCAAGCGAACTCTTTAACTGATTGCCCTCTTCCTGACCACTAAAATTTTGGTTTACAACTAAGACACGAAATGAGTCGGGTCAATTTATGCCATTTCCCGATTCGAAATTTAATTTAGTTGTTCCAAGACGGAAAACTATTGTGTATTCCCTGAAATATAAAATATCGTAACGGCTATTAAACCGGGAATTGTTTAACCGAAAATAATGTGTTCTTTTTTCTTTTATTTTAATTGCAGCTATTGCCGTGGTTCTCAAAAAAAAGAGCATTTTATATCAAATTAAACAGAAAATTACAAACTATATAAAGAAGTAAGTTGCAATATTTTAAATTTATTAGTTTAGCCAAGAATTATAAACTTGTTCAGTAAATATCGGCAATAATTAAACTCGAACCCTAAAAACTAGGCTGATAATTAATGATAAAGAATTAAAATTTAAATAGTTACAAATAAATACAGTGTTGGAACAAAATATTATAATGGATGGAAGCAAAACTATAAAATACTTATTTGAATTAATAAATAAAACTAGTCAAAATCTTTGCACAAAAAACTTAAATTTTAAATTTAAAATCTTCTCGGTTACTGTTAATAAAAACTTGTGTGATATCGATAACATAATTGGAAAGTTAGAAGCAGGAAACATCACATTAAAAGATCGAATAGAATTCGTGGAGAGAAAATTTAAAAACCAAAATCTAATTTTTTACGGAACAAAAGAAAAAGCAGGCGCAGGAAACACTAACAGCGCTGTAACGAAATTATTAAAGGATCAATTAAAAGTTGAAATTGAAAGGTTTAACAGGTTCAGCGCCAGACCAATTTCAGTAAAACTTCCCTGTATGCCAACATGGTTTTTTGTCATTTTATTGTTCTTTAGGGGATTTGAAACACTACTCACCGATTTTAAAAATTTTTGGTTAACTAGTTTTTTTTATAAAGACAGCAGACACCGATGCCTGCTCTGTCCCTACCAAAAGTACGAGTGCCACCGGTGTCTGCCTTGGCCTGGTCATACAGTAAATATCAGCAGACACTAGGTGGCACGCATCAAGGTCATTTGTGTTTACTACTATTTTAGCGCGTTTGTGTTGTTTCTGTTAGTCTTGCAGTGGATGCGAAAAACAAAACAATGAATAATCGGGGAAAACGTTTGGTGCAATTGGCGTTAGAAAAAGATCAATCTGATACAGATGGTACTTTTCCGTTATTTTAATTTTCATTTGAAAATAAAATAGGTAATTTGCAGACGATGATGAATATAAAGAAGATCCTTTTTATTGCTCTTCAGACGACGATTCAGTGTATATTTCTTAAGATAGTTCTGACGATTTTGAGACGTCGCTGTAAGTTAGAAGCCGAAGCTCGAAGTTTTACAAAACATATAACTGCAACTGCAATGTGCATAAACTGTAACGAAGTATACCACACATTATATGCTCTAAGAATAGCCGGACTAACAGTGATAGGAAAAAGTAATCAAGTAAAGTGTTGTTTTTCCAAGGAAAATGGCGAAGATAATGACTACAAAAATAATGACAGTGCAATGAATATTGAAACCTACAAACGATTAGTGGAAGCCAAAGATGAAATTATAAAAAGTAAGACAGACATAATATTTCAACTAAAAGCCAAAGAACAATTATTATATAAAACATTAAACATTTTGGAAGAAAAACAGAAAGAGATAGGAAGCAGATTGACAAAAAATCTCTCGCCAAACAAAGAACAGATAAGTAGCAGTAAACAAAACAAAGTACAAGTTTTAGCAACCAGCAACCTTGAAATTTCTACCAAAGGCCACTCAGATTCAGACTTATCAAACAACCTAGGCTGCGGCCCAAATAAAAACAAAGAAGAAGAACGTCATAACCACACTTATGCTTCTGCAACAAACATAAATAATTACAATTCAGCACCAAACTCTGGGAATATAATTCGCTCGCAACAACTTTCAAGAGAGCTTCAACAAGTGCAAACAAAAGTAATACTTAATAAATATATCAACAGTGGAGAACAAACCCAAGGATCTGCAGAAAACACGCCATCAATAAATAATGATGGATACAAAGTCATTCAAAGAAAAAAAAAAAAGAAAATGAACATTGGAAAAGGAGAAGGTGATGATGCATTTTACGGGAAAAATGAAAAAGATAGGAAAATCTGGTTATTTATCACCAAGGTACCTGATAATGTCTCTGGAGAAAGTATCAAGAAATTTATTAGTACAAAGACAAGTTCGTCTCAAGAAGAGATTGACGTGAAAAACCTAAGTACACAAAACACACTGTTGGATAATCAATCATTTATGATTGGAGTGACACCCAAGCATCAAGACACTATCTATGATCCAAATTTTTGGCCCAGAAAGATTGTTTTTGACAGATTTGATTTTAGAAGAGAAAGAAAATTTTTATATCGACTAAATCAAAAACGAACAACAAATTCTGATGGAGACAACCGGCCTTCATCTTTTATATAAATAAGTCAGGAAGGAAAAATCTCACTGTAATGCACTTCAATATTCAAGGACTTGGTAACAAACTTGACTCACTAAGCATAACATTGGATGAAGAACAAGTAGACATACTCTGTGTAAGTGAGCACTGGCTACAAGAAGATGAGATGAACGTGGTAAACCTCGATAATTTTAAGTTAATAACATATTACGCTCGCAAAAACATGGCCAGAGGAGGAGTCTGTATATTTGCAAGAGATGACATAAACATCCAACCTATCCCATTTACAAACTCTATAGAACAAACTTTCGAAGTATGTTTATCAAAAACAAAAGACCCAGTGGCAAAATACTTCACTTACATTGTATGTGTATATAGAACAGGTAACGATTATGATGCTTTCATGTGTAGTTTATATAAATTTTTACATAAATACTTTAACGATAAAGACAAATATATCCTATGTGGGGATATTAACATAGATTTTTTAATAGGGAGCAGAACCAGGAATGAATTGATTAATTTATTTTTAGAATACAATATCAAACACCACATTAATGAACCTACAAGAGTTACAAAAACTAGCCAAACCTGTATTGACAATATATTTTCAAATGATAGGATAAATAATATTAGAGTATGTGACTCTTTTCTATCTGACCATACTTATCAGGTGGTAGAATTTGAAGGGTACCAAATCGGAGAACACAATCATAAATTTACATATAAAAGAAACTATAGTGACAGAAATACTCAAACATTTTACCAACTTATAAGAAATGAAGAGTGGAAAGGATTGTATGAATCTGCATCAATTTTCCATGACAAATTTAAATTTTTTTATGATACATTTATCTCTCATTACAATTGCTCTTTTCCCATGAAAAAAACTGAACAAAAAGTAAACAGAAAAAAATGGTATGACCCTAGAATAAAAAGTATGCATGACCAATTATGTGAAATTAGGAAAATTGAAAAACGATTAAACAATCCATTCTATACTTCTAGGTACAACGAATTTAAAACAACCTACAAAAACACTGTTAAATATTACCAAAAGAATAAAAATAACGAAATAATAAAAAATTCTGTAAATGTTATGAAAGATAGCTGGGAAATAATCAAAAATGAAACAGGTACGGGACACGGTAGTTCCTGTATACCAGAACTAGAAATCAATGGAAACAAAATTACAAATCCTCTAGAAAAAAGTAATGCATTAAATAACTATTTTGTGGGACTAGCTGACACCTGTCCCAAACCAGAAGGCAATGCTAGTATTCAAACGGTAAATTTTCCTAACGGGTTCTTTCTCACACCAGTAGTCCCAGAAGAAGTAATAACTTTACTGAAAAAAACTACTACTAAACCCTCCGCTGGTTCAGACAATATAAATGGTAAAATTCTGGCTGTGGTCGCTGAACACATATGTATACCGCTTACATACCTAATTAACTTATCATTCACTACCGGAACTTTTCCGGATCTTAAAGAGTCTAAATGCATCCCAATCCATAAAAAGAAAGGCTCCTGTACAGACCCTAAAAATTACCGCCCTATTTGTATACAGAGTCAAATAGCTAAACTTTTTGAGGCAGCTTTTTCCACTAGACTAGTAAAATACCTCGAACACTTTAAGATAATCTCAGACAGCCAGCATGGGTTTAGAGCTAACAAATCAACTAACACAGCAATCTTAGAATGTATAAACTATATATATGAAGAACTTAACCGGAAACAACATATTATAGGTATTTTTTATGACCTTACTCGTGCATTTGATTCAATAGACCATGACTTACTATTAAAAAAACTTGAAGGTATAGGTGTAAGAGGAAAACCACATGACTGGATAGTCTCATATTTGGCGGATCGGTATCAAACAACAGCTATCGATGGGGCTACCTCCGAATGCAAAAGGAATGAAGTAGGCATCCCACAAGGCACATTACTTGGCCCAATATTTTTTATAGTTTTTATAAACGACATTTCAAGTATCTGTGAAACATCAGATAAAGCTGTTTTTTATGCGGATGATGCCAATGTGATACTGTCTGAGAAAAGTGTCAATAACCTAGTAGAAAATGGAAGTAACGTCACATTGGAATTTGAAAAATACTGTAAGGAAAACGGTCTCCAATTAAATTGTGAGAAAACCTTATATATGAGATTTTTACCTAAAAATATTGCTCCTGATGAAGACTTATTAATTAAACTCTCTGGAAAATCAATAGAAAGTACTCTATCAATGAAATTTTTAGGTGTAACTCTCGATCCTAAACTAACATGGGAACTTCATATCGATAAGCTATGCTCAAAGCTGAGTAGTACTTGCTTCATTTTGAGAAATCTTAGGGATAAAGTCTCCTCAAATATATTGCGAATATTATATTTTGGACTAGTGCAATCTCAATTGCAGTATGGCTTGTTGATATGGGGTTCTTCCTCACACATAGATAAAGCGTTCATCACACAGAAAAAAATTGTTAGATGTATGGATAGAGCTCATCCATTAGCAAGTTGCCGAAATCTATTTAAAAAATATGAGATTCTAACAGTGCATTCTTTATATATCTTACAATTAATACTGCATATCTATGATAATAAGAACCAATTCATATTAAACAATGAAATTCACACATACAACACCCGCCATAATGAAGAGATCCATGTACCCTTCTCAAGACTGAGAGTGAGCCAGAATTCTCCCAATTATATAGGGGTTAAGTGTTACAATAAAATTAAAATACATATTGATTTAGTCGGCCCAAGGAACGGCATAAAGAATAAAATTATTAACTTCCTTCACAATAACACATTTTATAATACTGAAGAATTTCTCAATTTTTGAACCACACAATGAAGAGCTATCATAATCCTTATCCTGGTCTTTCTAATTTTTAAATTTTATGTTCGTTCTTTTAAATTAGTAACTGTCGGTGTAAGTAAAATTAAGTTATATGTATAAGTATAATAATTACTATGTAATGCTTTTAAATTTTAATTTTAATTAACTATAATGTTTTTAATTGACTAGCCTGATAAGTGGCATTTATTATGTGAATGAATGTACTTTTATGGTGAATAAATGATTTTGATTTTGATTTTTGACTATGTGAACCTGACCCATCTGGCGCTTTTGTAGCTGACAAAATTAACCTTATAAGCAACAACAATATGAAAAAAAACAGTGTTGAAAATGAAGAAGACGATTTTCAGACGTTATTGATGGCAATACCAAATAACAACCTGACAGAACCAGTTATAGAAAAAGAAACGCGTTCAAACCGTAATGATCCTGTTACCTTGGACCTTGACGTAGCACAGGAAGATCCGAGACACGTTGACCTATATGATATTTCTTCTTCTACTTGGGGCCTGCCACAGGGAAATTAACTGATATTTGAAGAAACATTTCATGGAGGAATTTCACCGGAATATTTTTCTACATTGAAAGGAGAAAAACCCATTCAATACTTTTTAGCATTTCTGGATTTCGAAGTAATTGACATGATGGTGAACCAAACGAATCACTATGCAACTCAAGTCTTAACAAAAGATGGTCATATTTCTAACCAGGCCCGTGTCCAAGGCAACCGACGGATAGGAAAGAAATAATACATTTTATTGGTTTATTTGGTTATATGGGTATCGTTCGTATGAATTATCTACGAGATTATTGGTCGAGAAAGTGGATATTTTCCAATAAGGTCGCAAAAAAAGTCATGAGTCGAAATCATTTTGAGATTCTCTTGAAAATGTGGCACTTTTCGGATAATTCGCTTTGTCCGGAAGGAGACCGTTTATACAAAGTTCAACCACTTTTTGACAAACTTGTTCGAAATAATAAGAAAATCTATACACCGGGAAAGACTTTTTGTATTGACGAGTCTGTAATACCATTTCAGGGAAGGCTACTTTTTAAGCAATATAACCCACAAAAGGCCAATAAATATGGAATTAAGGTATTCAAGTTATGTTGTGACAAGAGCTACACTTGGAACATGTCCCTTTATGCAGGCAAAGAGAAAGAACAAGCAAATGGAACCCACTTGTCTGTCGCGACTAATGTACTAAAATTATCCCAAGAACTGTTAGGAAGCGGAAGAGTATGCGTAATAGATCATTAGTATACCAGCCTTCAATTAGCCCACATACTTTTAGACCAACAAACACATTGCTTAGGTACATTACGAGGTAATCGGAGAGGAAATCCCAGTGAAATTATAAAGAAAAACCTAAGAAAAGATGAATTAGTAGTTCAGGAAAACGAGAGGGTAATATGTGTCCTCAAATGGCGAGATAAAAGGGATGTGCTGGTTCCTTCTACTTTGAATACTGACGAGACAGTTCGGATGCAAAGACATGGGGACTAGCAATATCAACGCACACTTCGTTTTCCAGGAAGTTGAAGAGAGTGCAATGTCCATAACAGATTTCCGTTTATCAGTTATTGAAAATATGTTAACATTTGAATCACCAATAACAGATGAACTAACGCAGCTGAAAAGTCTTCGTTCGCATGTTCTTACTAAATTGGATTGCAAAGCCCGTGAAAACAGAAAGTATTGTAGAGGATGTTATCAAAAAAAATCGACGGTTTATTGGAAAAAAGTAAAGTAAAAAGGGTTATAACATACTGTCAGAATTTTGCTTAGATTGTTTTAACGCGTTCCATAAAAAAAATGTGGTACTTTAATATTTCTTTTATTTCGAAACTTTTTCCTTTAGAATTTCTTTGTCTTAGTTAATCATTAACATTTTTTGATGTTATTACTATTATTATTATCATTTTAAAATAAAAACTTAGGCGAAATACGTTGTTTTATTGTTTTGTAAAAAAGTTACTATTTTAAACATGTAAAAACCGCTACTTTAAGCCTGGAACCGTTTTGGTATAGTCCAGGGCCAGGGCAGACACATCACTCTATCAAACCTGGTATTACCGTGTCCTCCAAGCCAGGAGGAACCGATAAAGTTTTTAAACTGAGGCAGACACCGGTGTCTGCTTTGGCCCATACGAAAATTAACCCAGCAGACACCGGTGTATGCCATAGCGCTGAACCTGTTAATATAATTGATATATAGATTGCAAAAGAATCGCGATAATACTAGACCAATATTAGTAAAATTTCACTCTCATTTAAAAAGTTTGGAAATTATGAAAAGCGCAAAACTTTTAAAAAAATCTACGAATATTTATTGCTGAAGACCTAATACCTAAAGACCTAGAGGAAAAAATATTCTTATAAAATTTATGAAAGAAGCTAGAAGTCAACAAAAGCGTGCTATTATCAAAGATAATAAGTTAATTATAGAAGGAGAAAAGTTTGCTGTAGGAGAATTACTTAAAGAGGAGGATGTAGAAGAAGACGAGGACATTTCCTCTCCTCCAAAAGCTAGAGAAATTCTTAGTGAACCAGCTACGCCTACTTCAATTACCAACCAACTCCAAACTAAACAGTTAGTAGTAGCCGAAAACCATAGTACAACGGAAAAGCAGCCCGTAGTTATCAAAAAAATAGAGGTCGTGAAAACACAAAATATAGAGGAAGACAAAATTAAACGTTGCCGTATCAGACATGGATCAAAATCAGAGGTAACTCCAAGCAATTTTAACAAGTCAATAATCTAAAAAAAAAAAATTATTAGATAATTAAACACGCTCCTAAATCAATGTACTTGTCTTTCGTCTAATCAAAGTACAGACATTTTATCTAGTGTTGTTTGTGTCGAATTAAATGTTGTTTATCCTTTCATATTAGTAATATTTTCAAATTTAAATTTCTTTATACATTCAATAAAAATGAATATAAATTTCTTTATATATTCAATAAAAAGAAATTTAAATTTGAAAATATTACTAATAATAATAATTATGATTTAGCAAGTTGTAAATATCCTGAAATATCTAATTTTGGGAGCGAGGATGACTAAGAACTTGTTGGATATGTTTGTGGACAATAAGCACTGATGATGGCAAAATGCCGAAAGCGCTTTGCATTTATTAATTAACAAGTTTTTCCTTTTGAATTTTTGAATTATTTTACTGTGAAATTGTTTTGTATGATATTGCAAATATTGTTTCCGAGTACCAAATTAAAAGAACTATAAAAATCAAGAAAAAAAACGGGGTTACTATTTAAAAAATTGTCAATGACGTCTTTGCCCAAAAATTCTATTTTTAGTAAACAAAATTGATCTATCTGAGCATTTTTTCGAAAAACCAATAACTTGCATTAGAAAGAAGTTATTCCATTCATTTGAACCATACTGTATAAAAAAATGTTTATCTGTTAATTAAAAATATATTCTTGTCAGTAATTTAGATAATTAGAAATCATTTGTTTTATTTTTTAAGTTCAAAAACAAAATAGAAATGAAATTACCTCGCCAATTTAGGAACAATACGGGTTAATCCTTTTTAATAATTAGCTTATTTTCATTTAAATTTTATTTTAAAACTGAAACCTGTATAGAAAATAAAAAAAGTAAATTAATTAAAGCGGTGTTCTTCCAATTGAGTCTTGCAAGTCCCAGTAATTAAAATAAAAGGGTGCAAATGAGAAGATCGAAGTTTTTATGCTAATTTTAATTATTTCCGTGGAATATTCTATTGCGTTTGTCTTGTAGTTAATAATTAGGTAGTGGAATTGTATAACCCTTTTAACCTAATAAACCATTCTCAACACCTACATATATTCGGTTAGGCACTAATTCTGCAAAACCCTCATTTTGCGGTATAGACTAATTTGGTTAATATTATCGGGGTACTATAGGGTACTCAGTCCTTGTTTATACAAATTTAGATCCAAGTGTAGCAGTTTAATGTGTTAAATATGTAAATTCTTTGGAAACCCTCAAATTTATTTTTCAAAATTACCCCTATAAAATAATAAAAACTATTTTTACTTCCTTAAAAATGTTTTAAAAATAATTCTATGATTTTTGTTGGTAAAAATTGGATAAACAAGAATGTTCCAGAAAACGAAACTTTATTTTTTATTCTTAACCATCTGCTCGTCCTGGATCTTAAAACCAGCTGGATTGTACGGTTTTTATCTTTTTCCAGGATCATTCAAAATTTAAATTTGGGAAAAAACTACCATTAAAATAAGCAAATTTGACAAGATTTAAATTGTTATAACGTAAGACAATCTTATTGACTGCGCCACTTATAGATTCACCAACAAAATGTGTTGCCACTAGATGTTGATTGGACCTTATCTTGAGCATAGCTGCAGCTGCGTATATTATAGTTTTGTAATCATTAAGGCACCTTAATAGAGTCTACAGATAATACGAAACTGCGAATCATAATAATTCATGCACATTGCAAGCTAAAAAAATTAAACTTATGAATTTAAATGTGACAAGTTTTTTATTAAATATTTATGAAACCAGTTTATTTTATGTAACGAGTGAATATTTGCAGGACCAGTAGAGCGAAGTCCCGCAGCAATAATGAATTACATAAAACGTCATTTCATAACGTGTTACATACAATATTCTTTTTAATTTTGACTAGATAATTCATAAAATTGTATTTTGGTAAAAAATTCCTAACACATAAGCAACCAATATTACTACTTTCTAGTATTGTTAGTTGGGTATTAATTTATTCTCAATGACTTAGTGTAATGTATTTATTTTGCTTGTTAAAATTATTAAAATTTCAAGAAAGTGGGTTTTTCATCGTGTATTGTGTTTTAATTATTTTGTGTTCATTTAAAATTGAAAATAAGGACCAAAACAACATTATTGGTACGTTGTTAATCTAACAATAAGTCAATCGGCACTTTTTTAATATAAAATTTCACTAATAATGTATACTGTCGATTTTAAAATCATAAAAGGTATATTTTTCTCTGTTTTTTTTTACAACATTATGCAACTAGTTGCATAAAGTAGATCATTTTGACACATGATGCGATTACATAAAGTGATAAAATTAAAAAAAAATATTATAAACTTGAAGGTCAATTTATTTATGACGAACGGTTCTTCTTCTTCTTTTTTCTTCTTCTTTCTTCTTCTCCTTCTGATTTTTTAGGAATTTAGCTATAGTTATGTTATACCTCTCTTATTATTTAGGGTGAGATTACAGAACGTCTGCAACTTTGCAGATCTGCAAATATGGCGGCAACTTTGAAAATCTGCAAATATGACTGACTTACACATACAAATATCAAGTTTTCGTATTCCAAATTTGGGTTTAGGGTTGTTGGAGGTAATAAACCACAATAAATATTGCGAATTTGCAGATATTTTTTGGAATACTTGCATTTGTAAGTCCGCCATATTTGCAGATTTGCAAAGTTGCAGATCTGCAAAGTTGCAGACGTTCTGTAATCTCACTCTTAGTAAACTACAATTGGTTATAATCAACGCAAAAAGTCACCAGATTAATCCGCCCATTCATATATAGGCCCTTATTTATTGCAAGTATTTAGTTTGTATTTTATGTTAAGCAGACAGAGCTGTTGCATCGGCTGAAAAATTATATTTTATATTGTTAACTAAATCGTCTCAGAACTAGTCACTGCATTTTGGGAGCGTCACTAATATTTAAAATTGTTTTAGTAACAAAATGAGATGTGTGTCCAGCGAGAATTGAAATTGCAATCCTAATCTTTGCCAATTGCGTCGTTTGACGATTCGAAATGTATTATATTGGTCGGATCTATTACGTCATTCTTACGTCAGAATGTACAGCTTGCAGTTTGGCCTGCGATAGATGGATATATTGTAATTCATTAACTTAAAAGTTAATTTTTTAATAATTGGCATTATTATTTAAAAATATAAAGAATTTACCAAAAATTATATAAAAAAAGTATTTTAAAACACACATATAGAAATAGAACAAACAATCAGGTTATTACTGCAGTGAATGGCTTACATTGAACTAGAGAATTTAAGATAGAACGTGTGCATTATAATAAGTAGAACTATCACGTGAATTTTGGATTTAAATAGAGAGAATAGATAGAAAAAAAGGAGACTCGAGTGAGGTCTGAGGCCAGAACTCTCGCCGAAAGCAAGAACTCTCGTTTTCGGGACCCTTAGTCTTCAACCAATTTTACATTTTTCGTCCCGAGTACTACAATTATCTTATATTTTATAGAATTATATAGTTAAAGTTTTTAGCCCTTTTTTTAGTAGTTAATAAAGTAGTACTTCATTCCCTAAATATAATTTAATAAATTTATTCTCAAGACTATTAGTAAAGTTTTGTACTTATTTTAAATATACATTTGCTAATGTTTTAATACTTATTATTAATCTTTCCTCCCTTTTCAAAACCAGCACTTGAGAAGCCTCGGCATTTTTATTCCCTTAGAACTAGAAGAGTCTAAAACTAGTTGCCAAGAACCGTTCGATTATGCTACTAGAGGATATTTTTTTTTTATTTAATTTTTTTAATATTTTTATTTGCCACTGGTGAATGGATGTTCCTTCTGGACTCCAGGACCCTTTGGCTGGTGAGAGTGTTGCCTTTATTTTTTAATAGTATATTAACAACAGTAGCTAAAGACGTATTAGTATTTGCAAGTGGTCTTTAGGCTTCCTGGTTGTTACATTTGGTGATGAGCGGTGGTTCCTTTAGACTTACTAGTTGTTACATTTGGTGACGAGCGATGATTCTTTAGACTTCCTGGTTGTTACAAATTAAACTGCAGGATCGGGACGGGTTCCAATTGAACAAATAATAGATATATTTCGAATACCTTCTATTCGGAATATTATGGCTACCTTAAAATTGAGTTATTTCGTACTGTCAGTAACACCTTATGAGATAATATATGAAGCTTGCCATAAAAACAGGTTTCGCATCCTAATTTGTCAGTATTGGGGTAAAGTTTGCGTACTGCTAACACACCTTCAAATGATCTTACTGGCTACTATTAAAGCTCAGTAGCGTATACTACTTTGGCTTAAAATAAATTTTCTAGGATTTTTAAAACGATCTCGGTCAGATTTATCACAGAATTTTAAGAAAATTACCTAAAATTTTAATTCTTATAACGGTCAAATCGAGTCCGCCCTCGTTTCTAAGAATGGCTATCATTTGATGGTATTATAGGAAATACCAGATTACCTACACAATGGATCAAACGCAGTTATGTAAATGGGTTTTTAAAAACTACAGAATTTGTTAAAATTGATTTGTTATCTACGAGCTAAAATGTAGTTTGTTAAAAAAAAAATTAAATTCAGTTTCAGCTAACATTTGTACATAATGCTAATTTAAAATAAATATTCTTTATAGCTACATTATTCTTTACTACAGCCCATATCATTTTTATTGGATTTAAGTCTGGGTGGTATGCTGGTAATCTCAAAACTGAACGTGTTCGGAGAATAATCTATCAAATTTGTATTGCTTGAATCTATTTTTATGCTGTTTGATTAATGTGTACAGCTGTGGTCGTAATAAGGAAGGTTGAAATTCATTATGATATGATTATCATTATGATAATCACCACATTTGGCCTCAGACACAAACATTAATAAACTGTTAGGAATAAAGCCCATGTTACCACCAGCATAAACTATAATAAGACTCTTTCCTTTTGAAATGGTGGAAAACAAACG